GTCTCTTTAGGATGCGTGGGTCACAACCCCTTAGCATAAAACTGACTTTATGCCACAAATATGCATAATGAGAAGTGCACTAATGCTTTGCATTCCCCAACAGAGGACTGGGATTCTACATGGCCCATATACAAGTGGAGGAAAATGAGTGTGTAGGCTCTAATTAGAGGCCAGGAGGGATCTTGCCCCCAAACATTTAAACTTCACAATTTCTTCACCATTTCTTTCACTCCCTAACAATATTAACAACAAATAGTTTTGGGTTTGTGTAGCCCAGTCTCAACTCTCCTTGCCAAAGCACAGGGTGGTACCACATTATGGGAGAGGCAGATACTGATTTGACTGCGATAAATGTGGGTTTATTCTGTGCCTGAACCCATATGCTGGGGCTTTTGACTGGAGCGTCAATCAAACCTGGGCATTTTATAGAACATTTACTATTTAGGAACTACATTTTTTTCATGGTGCTAGGAGCTGAACTATATTTGTAGTGAAGATAGATCTGAGGAAAAAGTGGGGCTTTGTCTTGCCCTGTAAGCTTCTTTGTAAAGTTTTCATCATTTTTGCTTCTTGTTGAGCTTGAAACACCTTAACAATCAACTCAAAACAAAGTATTTCTCAGGATGTTTCAACATTTCCATTTCTATTTCCTGTTAAAGTAAGGATATGCAGAGACAGAATAAATATGGGAAGTCATCAAAAGAAAACCAAAACCAAAACAAGCAAGCAAAAAAAAATCAACCATATTCTTATGGAACCTTTAAGAAGTGTTTGGTGCCAATTCTGGGTAAAGATGGCTCCAGCCCAAAGCATTACATACGAACTGCTCTGAATGAGGTTTTCATAAATCAAGATTTGGCTTGGGATCTGTATTTCACAGCTGCACTGTGTTATGTGTAGCTTCTGTCGTAGGCCAAAACAAGAACCTGAGTTCTGAACAACTCTTGGCTGGTGGGAGAAGGATGCAAGGTCAGGTGAAGACCTCAGTTTTGTGGCTTCAGTCAGGCTTTGTCAGGAGGTGTCTAATAAAATATGAATATCCACAACGAGTCCCTGCTTTATTCTAGCTGATTCCCCCATTTCCCTAATAATAATGAATCAGCAAAAAGAAAACTTGCTGAGAAGAAAGTCCTTCATTTACGTTGTTCAGTCATTAATACAGCTGCCTGGAGAAAAAACCTAGAGAACCTCTACAGCCACCAATCCTGTATGACTTCCTTAGGAAGAATTAATTCTTCTACGTGAAGACATTGTGTCTGCATATGTCTTACTTTTGCCTGAGTTTTGACTGTTTAAGAATGTGGAGCTGGAGCAAACATACTATATCATATTTGGGTTGTATTTAAGCCACAATTCCCCACAAGTACAACTCTGCCTAAGATAGCAGCAGTGGAGACCACTGCAGAAGAGAAGAGGCACAGGCCACAGCTAACGTTTATGGGAATAATTTGCCCTTTAGAAAATGTGATTAGCAATGCAAGGCCCCGAATTAGAGAGACATGTACAAATCCACAATGTTAGTGGCAAGGAAAATCCCTTTCATTCATCTGTGATTCAGAAAATGATTAAGCAGTTTAGAACAACCGTATGATGCAAGACCAGATCTTAAGCAGTTAAGGTGGCTGGGGGAAGGGAGAGAGAGATAGAAAAGGTTTATTCCCCAGTAGCACCTTGCTGCTGTCTGCTTTGGCATACAGTTTAGTCAGGGAGCTGGAGAGAGGGGACATTTTACAGTAACTGGAGCTGTGAGCAACTCCTTTGCCTAAGCATTTAATTATGTGAAACTCGGCTAGTGTTGGGGTTTGTTGCAAATTTTAAGTAAGCCTGCATTGGCTGAAAGGTTCACTGTGATCTGCTGAGGCTGGCAGATATTTCTGTGGTTTTGGTGGGAAGCTGTTGAATTTTGGTCTCAACGACATGGTAAGTATATCATGAGGAGAGTACCAGTGAGGAAGAAAGAAGAGAAAGAAAAGAGGACTCCCTGTTACTCCTTACTCATATTAAAGAGATTTACACTGCTTTGCCCCATTTTGCTTTCCGGCTACCAAGTTAGCCCTAATTACTGCACATTTTGTATGCTCATTGGATTTTTGTATAAGCACTTTGTTCTTCACCACAGTCCATCAGAAGTCCTATCAGTTAGCACTGTATGGAGAAAAGTCACTTGAGGAGCAATGAAGAAGGAAAAAAAATAGACTGGAAGTCAAAAGACTTCATTTGGTTCCAATTAACTATGATTACCATGACCCCTTGTGCCAATTAAAACATCAGGTAGAGTATCAGCCACACCTGAGCTGGAAGGATATAATGTTTTTAGCAATATTTATACCATCACCTATAGATCATGTTTAGCCTCTTTAAAGCTGTTTGCCAGGCTGCTCAGCTCAGGATAAACTGTGTAAACTTTAGCTCCTTAAAATGCTAGCACTAGGCGATAAATAGACTGAACACTTGGTCACATACATGGCACCTTCAATCCATTCACATTATGGGCCACGTCTGCTCCTGCATGTTTGCATCTGTAATTGATTGTGGGAGCTATTAATCACAGGTGTGTGTGATAATGTTTAGACATCTCTTTGATTCAAGGATGCTATTAAGGAATTAGACTGCAGTAGGGTAAGAGTTTGTCTCTGTAATTAATTGCTCCCGGGGTTTTGCAATCCATAATCAAGTAGTGGTGCAAAAATCAAATACTGCCTTGAAAAAACCAAACAGCTCAATGACAACAATCACCCCAACTCGAGTTATGTGTTCTATTCATAGTTTACATACTGATGACTGAATATTTCTGTTTTATATGTGCAACTTGTGAAACAGATGCTCAGTGTCTGTTTCAGTTTCTGAGAGCTGCTGCTGGAGCTTGTAAAAGATATGATAAAAAATGGTAAGGTAACTAGAAGGATTCTGCCTCACAGTACTTAATTAGATCTCCCTCCAAGTTACACTTCAACAAGGACTGAAGAGTGACTTTACTAACTACTTGTTTTGGTCCCATTGTGATTAGGATTCTGACAAGATCAGGATTACTTGATCCTATTAAAATTCATCATAAATTTAGACTTATAACCAGAAGGCATCCTTGTAGGCTTAGGAATTTCTCATTTCTTAAGAGCTGGTATTAAGCACATTTGGACTGAATCAGTTTTTTGGTAGAAAGCTTTGGGAGGAAAATGACAGAAGGAAATGTTTTTGAGTCTTTGGGAGTGACTTTGCCTCTGGAGTTAGTCTCTAGGAACAGGCTGGGAGATGCTTTAGTTGTAAATGAGAGGTAAAACAAAACTCTTCTCCAGGTGCACTTGGTTGTTTAAAGATCTTCTGATGTTTGACGTGTGAAAGCATTAAATGCATTAAGCCAAGATGATTCTAATTCAGGCAATTACTTTTCACTTACCCCAGACTCCTCCCAGCAATTTAAAGTGACTTTTTCAGACTGGAAATTCTTTGGGGAAAGAGCTTGCAGCAATACCAGGAACAAATTTAATATTAGTTTTCTCACGTCCTGTGCTGGTTCTTATACAATATTGCTGTCATTAACAAACTATTACCTTCCATCCTAGAAATAGATGCATCCCAGCCCAAGATGAAATAATTGAGGTGGTTTTTTGCAGAGTTCATTGAAATCAAATCCTAACACGTAGTAAGTTGTTGTTGTTTTTGTTATGCGCAATAATCTTGCATTTTGAATACCTTCCCTTTCCCTCTGGAGACATTGCCATCAAGGTGACTGTACCTGCTTCCAGCACCAGATTAAGAACAATGGAGAAAATGGAACAAAACAGAGGTTTTCAAATTCCATTCTGATGTCTAGTTGCCAAAGGAGCCTGCCGTGCTCAATTCAAGGGCTAATCCATGACCATCACTCTACTTCAATAATTACAGAACATTAATGAGTCTGTTTCCTTATTACAGAGCTCAAAATAAGAGCATTGGCATTCCGATTTAGCAGGGAACTTTTAAAGTCTTAGCCCAAGGATTGTAAGAGGAATGGATTTTTTTTTTTTTTAATTAACTTTGCATTCAAAACTTGTCTTAAACCATCTGTTCTCATGCAAAGGCTGAGGGAGGGGGAAGCTAGCCACAGATTTTCATCAGCGAGCTGTTAAATTAGTCCCTTTACTTCACAGGGCTTGTTTTATTCAATCTGCCTTTATTAAGAACACAGGTTTGATTCTGCAAGGAACAAATTCTTCTGGTTCTTTAAGGAAAATGGTTTTAAGCAGGGTTTTATTAGGTTGCATTACTGGATAAGCGATACAACATGTTACCAGTGTGAATCATCTGATTTACAGTGACAAGAAAGGACCTTAAAAAAATACCCAAAGCCAAAACATTGGCTGGCAAGGGTTAACAGGGCCAGATTTGATCTACTTTTTCAAAGTTTTTCTGTTACAATTGGTAGTAACTGTCTAGGGCTTTTAGACATTTTGACTAAGTCTTTTTACCCTCCCTAAATTAAGAAGCAGAGAAACTGGGTCCAGACTGTAAGTATTCTAACCAGCCTGAATAGTCATAGTGAAGTCAGCAGGGCTGCTGATGAAATGAAGCATGATCTGGGAGGAGGTCTAGCACTATTTCATCCTAAGAGGCAAGAGACATGGATAGGTCACCTTGCCTTCGCAGCCTTACAGTATGCTTGTTTTCTTTCACTGGCTTAGTCCTGCTAGCACAGCTTTTGGGAACCCCCTGTGCTTGTTTGTGAGCAAACAGGCATTTACAAATCTCTGCTTTCGGAATGATGCAGGCTTCAATCATACCAGGTGAGCATAATGTGACTGAGAGTCATGACTGAAAGTCCTCAGCCTTTTTCCATTGTCTGCATTCAAATCCTTTTTGCTTGCTGCACTCAGGTGATGAGTGATCTGGCAGGTAACTGGGAAAGGGCACAAAGAATATTGATAGAAACAGAAATGTGATTTCTTAATTAGAAGTAATAGGAGAAACCTGACCCTAAGTGATATATTCAGCTACCATGAGGTCAAAGTGCATATTCTCTCTGGCAGCTGAGAGCACCTCTTGCACTGAAGACAGGGTGAAAGTGGTATGTGAAGATCTGCAGGCTCAAAGATATCTCAGGTAACCCCAAAAGGGAAACTGAATATTTTCACTGAAAACGTTATAACAAAATAAAATAGTTTCACTCCCTAAAGTTGATAGCTTTCAGTCCAAGGATATGTCTCTCCCAGTCATGTTAACAGATCTTTATCAGTACTTGTGTCTAGCCTAAAATTAGCTCCTTTCCCATGTAGAGGTCCTGAGGCTAAAATGAGCTTTTACACATGAAGTAAACTTATAGAAGAAGTTCTGAAACGGATGGCTAGAATTTCTAAACCAAAATTCCCAGTCATCTGAGTTTTTTGGGCATTGCAAGCTTCTCTGATGAATTTTCAAGTTGTGCTCTAGATTATGTTGAAAACCCCATCCCACAGTAAACGCCTAATTTGAGTGTTCCAGTAGCTTGAGTCTTCTGACTGACCTGAGCTATGAAAGCAGAAAGAAGATGGTTCCCTGGAAATCAGTGCATAGTCCTAGTCCTGTCCTCCCCAGCAGATTTTGCCTTACCTGTCCCAACTAAGTCTCATTGCCAAGAGGTGGTACTACAGACTGCTCTAGCTGTAAAGAAAACTTCGTAAATTCATTGTCCCTCCTTTAACTGCAGTGAGAAGCATAAAAGGAGAAACAAGATTTGCAGCATCCCTTTGAGATGCAATGGTGAATGCTCTTATCAGTAACAAGTGTCACTTGTTTAATCCTCTCATAACCTATTCCCATTTTGAGTCTTGTATTTTATTTATGAAGCCATACCATGATCAACCTATGGACTGAGAAATTATCACTGAAATTATGCTGGAAGTTGTGTGGGGAGGAGGAAAGTCTCACTATCCTCTCCTAGGTATTTTGAGAACTCACTGAATACATTTGTTCAAATTAAATCCGATATGGTACTTTCTAAATGCTTAATTTTGCATTTCTATAGAGAAAAAAGCATCCTTAGTTTTTCATACCAATTTACATGCAAAAGATGACATATATATATTCATATTTCAGACTCCATAAAAGGAAAAAAGAAAAAGAAAGGGGAAAAATACTACAGAGATCCCTCTTGGCCCTTCACAGAGCTTGGAAATTAAGTCTGAGCTCAGGAAATCAGTTTTCTTACCATACAGTGAATGATTGCTCTCTCAGTTTCATGACTAACCATCTAGTTTTGCTTTCTGGTGGGTGCTTAGTCATTTGGGATGCTTGAGTCTTCTACATCCTTTCCCTCAGAGGGAACAGAGGAGTCACATTACTGCATGCTGCAGTCTGTCTGTGCCAGCAGGCCAGGAGTGGCTTGGGAATGACAGTCTTGCTTTGTTGCTGTTATTAAAGGAACGATGACTAGTACTGAGAAGTCCTGGACATTTGACCACACTTGCGAATGAATCTCCACCAATTTTCTTCAGAATGTGTTGACCCTTTTGGCATAAAGAAAAATCCTTAGTGCAGCAGAACTGAGCATCTTTAGTCCAAAATAACAGGTTTGACTGGAATGTTTATTTTGATAGCTATGGGATTTCAGGGAATTTGGTGAGGTAGGAATCCTGTGTAAGACCACAGATCTATTCAAAATGCCGTTCCATTAGCCTCTTTCTCTGCCCTATCCGCATCCAATGCAATCTCCTTGGTACAATATGTAATGAAAGCTATGAAACCCCTGATTTTTTTTTTTTTAAACATCTATTTGCATGGAATTTGAACCTTGCTACAAATAAACCATAAAAATGACATTAATAAACACCGGAAAGCGGTAATGATGTGTTATTGCCATAGGAGGGCCAGTTAAACAAGTTAAAGGCTGACACAGTTTTCCAGATGCAGTGTTGCACAATGTGCTTGTTTACCTGGTTCATTTACTCTTTCCCTTTCCCTCCTTAGACACACACATGGGGGTACCAAGGGCGAATGGACTCAGAAATGCCAAATACAAGTTACGATCTCCCTCCCCTATGGTTTTATCTGTAAGATCGTGTCTTTTACTTGTAAAACCTTTGCCAACCACAAAAATTTGTCATCTTTTGACAAATAACTTCTGATGTTTGAAAATGAGGATGCTTGTATCTAACCTCAAGTTCTACTCCCCTTTGTTTATCTTCTTTATACATATATATTCAGTTTATTTCTCCATTCCAGGTCTTATTCCTGTACCTTTCCCATGAGTTATGAGAGTTGAAAACAAGTTTTTCTCTCCTTGAGTTAACCAATGTATCCAGAACTCTTCTGGTTTTTGTCCCACTGAGTCATTTTAGCCCTTTAAATTTTACCTTGGAAACTTTGTTTTCTCTTTATTTTATAGTGATGACCTCTTTACTTGCGTAATACAGTCCAATGCTGTAGGTTAGAAATGTCCTTAGAAATGCAGCTGGAATTGGGTATAAAGTTTAGGATGCCTGAAGAGGACAACAGCATGTCTAGGATTTATGTCTGATTGATCTGATAATTCTCATTAATGTCAGTTCTTACTGTGCTCTGAAATCAGCTACACAGATGAGTATTCTGTTGCCATGCTTGCAATTTGCTCTGTGTTTAGAAAACAGATCCTACAAGGCGCTAAAATCACACAGATGGGTTTAAGCTAAACTAATGTTCAACCTATTTTTCACAAATCTAAAATCTACATAATTCCTTTCTTAGAAAAACTTTTCATCCGACTAGTGTGGAAGTGACAAGAATTACTAAATGAATACTGCAGGAGTGAAGAAGTTGCCTTGGCTCATAGGCAATGAGCCGTAAATCCACTCTGGCTGTCACATCACACATTTATAACAAGCCTGTTCCTTGGAGAACCTCCGTTAGGTTCAGATCCATCCATACTTTCATATCTTGCCAGTTTCAATGAAATGAGGATAATTTAGAAAAGTAGAATTATATTTTAACAGATCAAAGATGCACATATTAAGTTGAACTAATTGCAGTGAGGAATTTTGACCTATTTTCTTTGAAGTCGTACAAAAAATAAATTAGGTGTGCCAATTCCATTTGCACAGGGCAAGTTCAAGATTCCTGACAATACTATTGCTGACAAGTTGTGATTTTGTTATAGCCACCAAATAAACTAATTTTTGTTCTAGGATCAGGCAGTTATTCATACAGAGAAGAGAAGCCCAGTTAGTGAATATCTCCTGCTTCTGTTCGGATGATTAGCTGAATCCAAGTATTCTTTTCTGCCAGTTGCAGTCTTGCTTCATGTTTTCTCCTAATGAAATCTGAAGCTTTTCAGGTGGATATAGATCAACGTCTGCACAGATTTATTTATTTACTTACTTATTGGTTAATATCCCAGAGGCTTCCCTCCAACAAAATAGTTTTTAAGTATATACTGTAGCTTACAGGATGCACCCAGTACCTGCATGACAGATATTAGTCTTCTCTTCATGGACTGAAATGCAAATGTGCTGAAAAGTGTGAGTGATCTTCTGCCTGGTGGCCCCCACCAAGGGCAGTCAAAAAATGGGCAGGAAGCTTGGAGGGGAAGAAGATCAACAAAAGATCATCAGTGTCTGCAGCATGGCTGATTTCTTTTGTGTGGATTTGAAAGGAGAATTCATTAATCTGAGCTAAGTTTTCTGCTGTCTTAGATGGTGGTCATTGAATATGGGAATAATACTAATAATACTAATGCTATGTAATAATACTCAGTTTCTGAGTCCACCTTCTCGTGCTGTTATACCACCTGTCTTTGGAGTTGTCTTTCATCTCTTTACCAGCTCTTCCTCCTTAACCTTAGGAGCAAAAATCAGTTTTCAGCCCAGAAACTGCCTCCTTTGTATTGAGGCAGTGTAGAAGCAGGAAAGGAGAGTAGGCAGTTTCAGATGCAGTGACCTGTCTGGGTTATTCTTGGCCAGTATCACCACAGTGGCTTCATTCTTTGGCATCGCAGATGTAGAGAAAGGCAGAGACATGCATGGCCTGAATCTTATCTCCCACTTATACCAGGAGAGCATTTGCCTTTAATCGTGAGCACAAACCATTAATGTTGCATGACTACAGATTGTGGTCCAGTTACAGAGGAAGGCTGTATCTCCCTCTCTGTTTCTACTCGATCAAAAAGCCCACGAACCTTGCTACTCCCATTTCCTTCTTTGCCTTTCTTGTCTCCATTCCCTTAGGGTCCTAGCTTCTACTGACTGACCTTTACAAATGCAACAACAATAATTATCCTATAATTAGACACTCTAAGTCACGTTGTTGCTAAAGCTGTCAGTATGGGAAGGAAGCAAGCAGTGCTTAAGGTAAGAGTTATGGGCTCCTTCTTCGCTGTATCACCAGAGGTATTTGTGCCAAGTCCTTGGCATTTCATTAGGTGGCTGTTGGGGTTCCCTTCTAATTGCGTTTCATAAGTTAGTGATTGCTGTTCATGATTCAGTGGTTGTCTGTCTCTAGACCACATAGATAGAGAGTAAAGGACATTCAGAGTTTCAGCAGATTTCAAGTTCCTGCTGCCATTATGGCCATTGACAAATTAAACCACCCAAGCTCATCAGGCTATCTATCCAGCATTAGAGGTGCACCTCAGTCTTCTGGCTTTCATCCCAGAGCCTGGAATGTGTAGGTTTAATTCTGGCAGGTGGCAAATATGTACTGCTTGTGTAAAATCCAAATACCTGGCAAATCCTTCTTGGTATTAGTAATACCTCTGAAACCATAATTTTCATTGCCCCATCAAAATGGGTGAGACATTGAGACATTCTTGTAGAAGTGTTCTAGCTATGACAAGGTTTGGAAGCACAGCCCTGGATTAAAGACATAAAGCTTCTCTTATCCACCCTTCATGACATGGGCACTCCATTTAAATTTCTTAGCAAGGCATTGAATATAAATACAAAGAAATATGTGAGTTCCTTATAGTTGGGATTAGCGGAATTTTCATCTTCCTTTTTTTCCTTATCCTTAGTGTCTTCTGCGGCCAGTTGTTGCCATGTAACAAATCCCTTAAAAACCTCTCTGACTTGAGATGTGTAGCAGGACTTCTCTGCTCACTCACACTGTGGCTATTTCTTCTTCCTTTATTTGCCCTGTAAAAAAAAGTTGTTTCT